ACAAAAGAACCTGTTTGAAGGGGGGGGGGGTGTCTTTTCACATTATACCTCATTTTCAGGCAATCTTAACAACATTATTGTAGGATGTGGTGAATTAAGGTTAAATAGAATGGAATCCTACAATTAGACATTACTGCCATAAGTGACAATATCATTTGATATACGACACCCATGTGATCTAAATACACATATACTTAGTTATACCAAACCATTCTTTATCTCTATCAATTCTGACATATTATACTCTATAGTAAAATAAAAATTCATGTATTCAAGCTAGGTTGATTAATCATTCAAATACCAATGTACGTTTGGCTTCATCCTTGGTCCAAGAGTATTTCAATTCTTTCCATAGGAGTGATATAGCAGTGAAACATCTTTCTAATGATGCCCTTTGGTATCAGCTAAACAACACACTTTTCAAGTAATACTAGCTAGCTTGTATTGTTATTTAATTGCCATTATCAACTCTAAGTGTTCTTACTGATTCCCGTAATGTAGATTGGAGGTTCACAGTGCCTGGTTTCTAAACAGGTTACATACAATCTATATTGATGAAAATGCCACTTTTAATTTCCTTAGAAAATATAGACTTGCATATCATGCTCTATCAGCTCACACTGGTTTATCAAAGTCTCTCCCTACTATCTGAAGCTTGACAGAGATTCCTATGGATTAAGTACATATTCTGGATACCCCAATGAATTGATACATGCTAGCTTGTATAGATCTTCATTAAATTGATAAACAATCAGTTTTTCAACAATCATAAATCATGAATTGTCATGGCTAGTGCTTTCCTCAAATCTCCATGGTGAGAAAAAATGCACTGGGGTTTGGTGCATTTTCAGAGGTGAAAATACAAGTGAATTATACCTAAAATATACCCAACATGAAAATTAGTAAATAATTTACCTATAAAAGAGAAGTGTCGTTTGTTAGATTGGCTGAGTATGACGTGATGATCACTACTATAACATTTGGTGTACTAATACTCAGAAGTCATTATCATAAAATGAAAATATTATTTTTTCAGTATTCATTGCTAAAAATGATAAGTAAAAAGATCTCTTACAATATGCAATGATTAGAAGAATAGATAAATAGAGATTATCCTATATGAGGTTCAGGATATTGGGATTATCCCGAGGCCAATATAATATATTTGCCCGAGGGCCGCAGGTCCCGAGGGAAAATATATTATATTGGCCAAGGGATAATCCCAATATCCCGAACCGACTATAGGATAATATGTTTATCCCATACCAATCTTGGTCATCTGGTTCACATTGTTCAATCGTGGAAATATTTTAGAATATTCATGTCCAGTTTTGTTTTCTTGGCCGTCGGCGGATTTTCCTGTTCTCTCAAATATTCCCAGATTTATTTTCTCGAATTTTTGATTGATTAAGTGGATACTCCTTCCCTTTTTTTAAACCATCAAACAGATCCCGATTGTCTATGTTTTCTCCATTGTCTTTAAAAGTCATTACGCGAACGTTACAAATTATGAACAAATATGCGAGCGGCGATTATGACGTAGCGGGCAGATATACTATATCTGCCCGCTCTGAGCGGGACGTAAAGCTATATCTGCCCGCTGATGAAAATATAAGTTTTTACAAACCGGCTTTATGTACCTATAACACGTCCAAGTATGGGATAATAGAATTTATCCTATGCCAAGTAGAGTTTTAAGGAGATAAGAAGGTAAGATATATCCTGTATCCTGATTTTGAGGTTTCCATATCCAGAACCTCCATATCTCCCGCTACGGTGCATATATTCCTGCTTCGGTGCATATCTTCCCGCTTCCGGTAAGTAGTGGAAATGCAATGAAATGACTTTGCATATGAATGATTTGTTTATTTTTACACCTTGTATTATTGAAATGGCCATATGCCCCTGAAAACTCTACTTGGTATAGGATAAAGCAGTTATGTGCAGTCGGTTTGGATATTGGGTTCATCCCTCGTGAGATATGAACATCTACCTTCGGTCCCTACGGTCCCTCAGGTAGATATGCATATCTCCCTCTGGATAAACCCCATATCCAAAATCTGCCAGTACATAACCTTTATATATACAGTTAAACCTGTTTAATCTGAACACCACAGGGCTGGTCAAAAGTGTTCAGATTGACAGGTGTTCACATTTCGAGGTTTTATAACATGGAAGTCTATGGGAGATTAGAAAATGGGGCCGAAAAAGTGTTCAAATTGAGAGTGTTCCACTTAAAGAGGTATTCAGATATACAGGTTTTAAAATATACATATATAAATACCATCTTGATCCATCAAGATATAAGATAATTCATATGAGTGAAGGCATGCATTGGTTTTATATTATCGTTTACTCAGATTAAAATAATAAGATTGTGCTTTTGTGGCGAGTAACATCGCTCTCTATCATGGGATCTATATCAATGAATAGCAGTTTTCTATAAATCATTAACATAGATCCCAAGAGTGTAAAATGAGCTAGGAAATATAATATTATATATTGTAACTAACCATTTGTTGAGCTTTATCATTGCAATTCCCTGATGTGCATGAACTAACAAAGGTTTTGCCTTTGAATAATGGGATAATATCAAATTCACATTCAGGGAAAAGTTTATTTTTCATAAGGCCCTGGAATATGAATTGTGTCAGATGATATATGATAAATCAATGTTGGCGTTTACTCAGTGAATAAAATCGTGCGGAGCTTCCAATAATCTTGGTAACTGAGTTTCAACTTGTCAACTTATATTGTACCGAAGGGTGGATTAAATAAACTTGATCAAAATCATTTCTTTCTATCTTCAGGTCAACATGCGCATCTATCTCTCTTCAATAATATTTCATAAAAATATGAAACATTTCACAAAATTACGGTTAAAATAATCCATTTTTGCTTTCTTGTGCTGTGTTTAAATGATAATTCCTTTACTCCGTGTCACGTTAAACAAAAAGTCGGTATAATGACATAAGAACTGAAGATAATATATTAATTTTCTTAGATATCAAGTCAGGGACTGATTTCTATTACCTAATCAAAATTCTTGACCTCTTAATCTTAAGCAAAGTTACTTTGATTTGTTTTCTGACATTAACTGTGTTTTATAAATGAAAGAGTAAGATGTTGGGAATGAAGAAGTTAAACCATCGATTGAAACTTGACCCGTTATACATGCAATTCCATGTTCAAATGTCGAACGAACAAAAGTTATAGTTTATCATTAAATAATGCCCTTAGCCCTAAAGGAAAAATTTTGTTTTCCTGAAACTTTTTCCTGAGTAAATATTTCCGTTAATCAGGTTTCTGGTGCAAAAATAAAAATAAATCATTGAGCATTATATCGAATCGAACTCAAATGTCTTAATTGAAATAGATTTTTGCTTTTGGTCGCATGCGCATGTTGAAAGATATGGAAAGCTAATTCTTCATCCTTGTCACCATCCTGTTTGCAAATCCTAAGAGCAAAAGATTAGTGAGCTAAATTGGAAGTCCACACATTTTATTACCAAACATTTGATCATTTGAATAACTAATTGTAGTTAAACATGATCAGTCAGGCTTGATTGGAGAGCATGATATAATGGATCTTGCAGAACCTTCTTTGCTTTTTGCAACAAGCTCATTACCAGGACATACCATGTAGCGAGCTTATGACCATCAGAACATATAGTAAATTTTTCACCAGTTGAACCTTATGAATGACATGCTCATTACATGCAGGACCGAATGTCCAGGGACAAGCTCGACCATTTAGGTGCCAAGCTCATTACCAGTAGAAACTTCTGTGCAGAAAGCTTTCTTCCAGCAAAATGTCCAGGTAACAAGCTCAGACTTTTTAGGTGCCAAGCTCATTACCAGTAGAAACTTCTGTGTAGAAAGCTTACTTCCAGCAAAATGTCCAGGTGACAAGCTCAGACTTTTTAGGTGCCAAGCTCATTACCATTAGAAACTTCTGTGTAGAAAGCTTCCTGCCAAAAAAATGTCCAGGTGACAAGCTCAGACTTTTTAGGTGCAAAGCTCATTACCATTAGAAACTTCTGTGTAGAAAGCTTCCTGCCAAACCAATGTCCAGGTGACAAGCTCAGACTTTTTAGGTGTAAAGCTCATTACCATTAGAAACTTCTGTGCAGAAAGCTTCCTACAAGCAAATAGTTCAGGTGACAAGCTCAGACCTTTTGGGTGCCAAGCTCATTACCATTAGAAACTTCTGTGTAGAAAGCTTCCTGCCAAAAAAATGTCCAGGTGACAAGCTCGGACCTTTTGGGTGCCAAGCTCATTACCAGTAGAGACTTCTGGGTGACAAGCTCATTGCCACCAGCAGTAAGTCCAGTTACAGAAATTAAGCTCATTGCCAGCAGAAATTCTGGGTGGCAAGCTCATTTACAGCAACCTTCCAGGTGGCAATCTCGTTTCTAACACAAATCATATTTTATTTTTGAATGTTCGACTTGCTACAGTATTAATGGCACAATAATTAAGGTTGCCAAAAATAAAATAAATGATTGATTGGTAACATATTGTCGATGATGTTGGTTTAACTGGCTCAAATATAAAAATTCCTGTTTAACTGCAAATTGTACAGAACTTGATCTTTGGTTTAAATTCAGAACTGAGAACTCAAGCTCTTATGATTTTCAATCGTACCAAATCATACAGAAATTGGCAGTACATACTGTCACTGATTATAAAACATTTCTTTACTTAAACTTATTTTAGAATTACATAAACTGATGCTATTAAAAATGTAATAACTTATGAATTCTCATTTTGGCCACAGGAAACGCTGGTTGAGATTTATGCAAAGAAGGTTGACCACATTGATCTCAATTGATCCCATGATCTGATATCCAATCAAGCAAGTGTATTGCATTAAAGGAACCAGAAATAAGTAACGAGATTACAGGTAAATAAGTTAGTAAACCATATACATATATGTTGTATGTTTACAGGTATATTTACATATAATACAGGTACCTCAGGTAACATATCTCTTATACCTCTGGTTCGGCTTCTTCACCTCCCTTGTTAGCCATCGTCCAACTCTAGCAATCACAAAATGCTGTAAAAATAACCCTGATATCAGCTGGAGTAAGCCTCAGTTCCTTATCTATAACAGTTCCACATATCTCCAAAACTAAGTTTCAAATTGCTTTTTATCCACGGCACTATTTTAAACAAATGAAGCCAGAAATAGCGCTCACTATCGAGGAGAACTCTGAGTAAGTAATCGTTGAGTTCCACTCGCTTCGAAGCTCCAATAAATTGCGAGATTCACCATATATTAATTATCCAATACAGCAAGGTGCTTGTGGAAAATATGGCAGCAGTTAGTTTATGTATTTCTGGGCTTCTCTTCAGCAGGTGGAAACCACACTTTATTCCTACTTAACACAAGTATAAATGGTTTCATACATAGTCATCATTGTTGCCTAATTTATCCAGCATCCAACTGCATTACTGGTTTATATTTATTTCACACGTATCATGGTTCAGTGAAGTTTAAGCCACATATTTATAGAAAACAAGAGCTGCAAATTGAAACATCTAATCCCAGAGATTACCTCTCTCTTTATGTCTAATGCATCAACATGTTAAATGCTTCCTGAGTGATCACGGCTACTAGCTCCCAGCAACGCAGTTTCACTCCATCTACCAATAACAATCTCTCTCAATACTGAACAATCTGAAGCGCCTAGAAATCAATCGTTAACTGACTCTCATTGTTCAATATGTTATTGCCACATCAAGAGGCTTGAACCATATCTTAGCTCGTTGCTTAAGGGCCAGTATTTGCAGTCATTGGCTTGAACTTGCTGGATCACCCATGGATTACAATGAATAGCAGATCGAACTATACTATACATAGCAGGGAAAAAGCCTATGGTGAACTAAAGTTTAATCTCCTAATCCCATACAGTTCACTGAATGTCGACATACATCAACATTTAAGACCTTCCTATGTAGCGTGTTATAAAACCCTCCAAGAGACAATAAGATTATTTCTCTTTTCCATGCGCTGTATAAACCTTAATTAGTTCCCTTCACATTTCCAAGACACATTATTGTATACTGGAGCTTAGATTACACATACGTATGGATTATTTTGTGTTTCTAATTTGAACATGGTAAAGGCTCTTATAATCAATAGCTGGATCTATAGACATGTGGTATATCTATGTGATGGCACGCTTTAATCATTGCGCTCTCTTGTAGTTGAACTTACTACAATAGAGATGCCACTCGACTATACATGCTGACAAGATGGGTAAAATAACTGAGGAGTTGTAATGTGTTATTTCATATAAACTGTATTCTAATGTCAAATAACATTTCATTTATCCCATGATATTCCTGATATAATGGAGATCTGAATGATAATTTTGAATTTTTTATTGTAATCATGGGATAAATTCAATATCAGATCATTTCCCGTGGTACCATAATCAAACAGTATCAGTGGTAAGACAACTCATCCTTACGACATCTCATCCCAAAACAACTCATCAAGTTGAGCCATTATAATCAAATTCAATGCAGCACTCAAATACTTGTCGGCAACAAGCAATGAGAAGGAAGACTAAGAAAATTATGGCCAGTCAGTGCTCTAACAGGAGTTAGATTTCCCTTTCGGCTTCTGCTTCCTTAAGGTGGCAAGTAGGCCATTAAGTACGAGCAGAACCAGTTAACTGCAAAAATACTAATGAGTTTTAAAAAAGTAAGAAGTTCAGCAAGAAATATTCAAAATAAGCACTTCATATGCCTTGCAGCTTGTACCTCTCAAGGTAGCCAAATGCCTTATTATCTCATTAGTGACATGCATGAATTGAATAATAAGATTCCCACTGTCTCAATACACTTAGTCCAGTGAAACCACATGAAAGGGAATGTTTGCAGAATTAGCATGAATCGAAAGGATCCATTGATTCTGACTCTGTAAAGAAATGATACATATTTTGAAAAAACAAATCATCTAGTCATACATTATTTGAAAAAATGGTCCGAATGCTGAAATTGAACTGACCTCTTCCTGACTTCAATTTGATCTAGATTTTATATCCCCCAAAGCTTATAATGCACAAATGCTCTTTGGATAAAGCCGTCTAATTAAATAAAGTTTCCCAAATCCAATCACAAGCTCTATAAGGCTGAATAAAAAGCCTACTTTAATCTACAATAATTTGATCTCGGCTCTTAGAAATCTTGCATTTACTAAACCCTCTTCAAACCCTCTTGGGCACATTTAAAAAATAATCCATTATGCTATTAATCTATACCACAGAATTTCGGATGCAATCCATTGAAGAACGACCTTGAAAAACCATCCATTGTTAAATGCTGCCATTATTTCTTGGAAATCATCAAGAGAATGGGGAATCCCTGAACAAATCATTCTTTAAACCCGAAGATGCTTAAATGATCAAAGTGGGCCTATATCAAGGTCAGACAAGGTATTAACATGCAAAATGTCACTACCTGCCATTTGCTACAGATGCAACCGCCGAATACCACCTACCAAATACCAAGCACCAACTGCCAAACACCAACCACTGAACACCGTCTACAGAAATTGCTACTTATGTATACAATGAGAAACCTGCCTTGTAACATGTTGTAAGAAGCCTCATCTGCTGCTGCTTTTCAAGAAGGGCTCAAGACTGACAAAGCAATCAGAAATCGCAATTAGGTTTCATTATACCTCCTCTAATACCAGCCAAATAGATCTCATTGATATTATATTGGAGTCATGGCCTCATATTGATCCTATTCTGTTTATTATTCAAGCAGATCAGATGCTAAAGAAACACATAAGATTATAGAAAGCTATCTCCCAATTGATAAATGGCTGAATTTCCTTAGTACAGAAAGTTGAAGGACACAATCAATTCATTTGAATGATGCATTTTCAGGGGGCTAATATGTTATCAGAATTGAACCAATCTTCTTTTGTATGTAATCAGATAAAGTCTAATCTTATGCCTGATCTTATGACAGAGGAAACAATGAAAGCATCAAACGGAATTTCTTTGACAAGAACGTTCATTATAGGCAATGACCTCCATGTAATATAAGGCTTTAATATTTCATATGGAAACGGAATCAAATTACAAGAACACAAATGTGTACAAAATGTCCCCACCAATGGGTGATCCCATCAAATGGTTATCCTGAAAATGAGTAGACAAGACTTTACCAACACAATTCGAGGACGGAAAATCCCAAATGGCCACCTTAAAATTTACCCAGAATGCCAAAAATATAGTCAGTTCTAGATTTTCAAACTAAGAACCACCCCTAAAAAATTTTAATTGATCCGTCACACAGTTAACTAGAAAACATGTAAACAAGACTTTACAGACAAGATTTTAGGATGGAAAATCCAAAATGGCTGCCTTGACATTTACCCAGAATGTGAAAAAACTGATCTGTTCCTAGATTTTCATACTAAAAATTCTAAGAATCATCCCTGAAAATATGACATTGATCTACCAAATGGTTCACCTGAAAACGCGTAGACAAGACTTTACAGACAAGATTTTAGGACAGAAAATCCAAAATGGCTGCCATGACATTTACACAGAATGCCAAAAAACTAATCAGATGTAGATTTTCACACTAAGAATCATCCCGGAAAATTTGAAATTGATCTACCAAACGGTTCACCTAAAAACGCGTAGACAAGACTTTACAGGCAAGATTTTAAGACGGAAAATCCAAAATGGCTGCCTTGACATTTATCCAGAATGCCAAAAAACTAATCAGATCTAGATTTTCATACTAAGAATCATCCCTAAAAATTTGAAATTGATCTACAGAACGGTTGACCTGGAAATGCATATACAAGACTTTACAGACAAGATTTTAGGATGGAAAATCCAAAATGGCTGCCTTGACATTTACCCAGAATGCCAAAAAACTAATCAGTTCTACATTTTCATACTAAGAATCATCTCTGAAAATTTGAAATTGATCTACCAAACGGTTCACCTGAAAACGCGTAGACAAGACTTTACAGACAAGATTTTAGGACGGAAAATCCAAAATGGCTGCCTTGACATTTACCCAGAATGCCAAAAAACTAATCAGATCTAGATTTTTATACTAAGAATCATCCCTTAAAATTTAAAATTGATCCACCAAACGATTCACCTGAAATCACGTAGACAAGACTTCACAGACAAGATTTTAGGACGGAAAAATCCAAAATGGCCGACAATAAAAAAGTGATTATGTGTTTTTGCTGATTTCTTCTTACAAAATTATCACATATAACTACTGTTAACAATAACATAGGCTTTTACAACAAAGTACATCTGAAATTATTTATAAACCTACTAAATAGTTAAAGTATGAAAACTCAAAAACACCATTCAATATGATACAAAGTATTATCGTGCGCTAACTTTTCTTAAGACATTCAAAATGGCTGACATGACTGAGCTAACAGGTCCAAAACCTAATCAGATCTAGAATGAAGTGAGCTGAACAAGATGTTAAAGTTTTAAAAGCAACTGTGAAGCCGTTTTTCTTAAAGTTTGCAGACAAGGATTTTAGCATTTGACTTCAAAATGGCCGACAGGAAGTAGGTATCGAGTTAAAATTTTTTCATCCACATCTGTATGCACTCATAAGTTATCCCTGAAAATTTGAAGGTGATATCTGTAGCGGTTTTGGAGAAAACTCCCGGACGTACGGACAGACGGACGGACAGACGGACGGACAGACGGACGGACGTACGGACGGACAGACAGACGGACGCGCCTAGGCCGACAATATGGCCCCACACTATGTAGTGGGGACATAATAAAAGGCTGTCCCTGGAGAGATGTTAACATCATTTCCTGAACAAACACACTCTCAATTGGCTGATATCAAAATAACATTGAGAGGGCATATTCCAGAGTTCAATCAACTCTTATGTCTCACATATTAAATCATTACTTGATTAACGTTCTATTTGATTATATAAAGCGCAAGTGGTAGATTCTAAAAATATAAGTCTAGGTGCTGCATTTAACTCATATTAGTCTATATATGCATTTGCTCGACCATAATACAACAAATCATGACTTCATGAAAATGGGATATTTTCTACACAGCCAATATGCAACAGTACTGTTCGGTACCATTTTGGCAATGGTACCGTGAAAAATGATATCATACGGTACTGTAGACTAAAATGGTAACGTACGGTACCCTAAACACTGTATGACACCAAACTCCAGCGGTACCGTATGGTACTTTACTCTTAATATACCGTATGGTACCGTGATTTTACAGTGAGGATTGGGGGTGTATCCAAAACTTCAATTAGTACTTATTTGTTACTTTTTTATTGAACTACTAGTTCTGCATGAGTATGAGTATGTATAAATGGCAGCTATAATGCGACTGGCACTTGCACTCGAGCTCATTTATGTACTTAATTAAGTATGATAAATAAATCTTGATAATTAAAAAAATTGCAAGTGTGACAATAATTTAGCTTGAAATAATGAATAATAGAACATTCACAGCAGTTCTAGGAATATTAAAAAGTAGAATGAGAGCAATTTATTCTGGAAAGAGATCCAGGGGTACCACTTATTGTTTTATCATCAGTAGTATTCCCAGGCTCCTATTGAAGATGAAATATGTGCCCATGATGAACGATTACCCAAGAGACAATTCTAATGTATGATTTGTTGCTAAAGAATTGCATCCTCAAAAAACGATTTTTTTTCAATTATATACAATGTCTTAACCTTCCGACTGTTTCCATCAATTAAACACCATTGGAAATTAGTTCATTGATCGTTTCACAAGAAACTGAGTCAAAATGTTG